CTACACAACTACTGTACATGGGCCTCTAGTTACAGCACATTGTAAGACTAAAAATGTAAAAACTACAACACAAGGCAGCACGTTAGAAAAACGCTTTCCAGGCTGTTTGTTGAGCTACAAATTATGCAGCAAAATACAAATCACCTTCAGCAATTTGCATGACCACAACCGCATCAAACTGTTTATGTTAATAACACCCTCCACCTCAAGGAGAGTTCTAGTTACTAGTTTGTCATTCACAGGCCAACTTTCTGCTTCGTTATTCCTCGCCGTATGTGTGTGACCTCTCCCTGAGCTCCTCTCAGAGTGTGCCTGACCTCTGCGCGTCTTTCTCCACCATCAACCGTGGAGGGACTCCCGAAATATCTAATTGTATTCATTCATTTTCTGTGCCCGGCAAGGAAAGAGAGAGAGAGAGAGAGAGAGAGAGAGAGAGAGAGAGAGAGAGGGAAAGGGAGGGAGGGAGAGAGAGAGAGAGAGAGAGAGAGAGAGAGAAAGAGACGCGGAGAGTCTGTGAGCCGAGAGGCAACATGGGAGAAAGGCGAGGAGGGACACGGGGAAGAAGAAAGGGCAGAGGGGGTGGAAGGAAGGGCCGGGCCGTCTCCTCGGCGTTACAGCTGAGATGTCATTAGAGCCGCTGTCTGTCCCCTCATTAGAATAAATACTCACAAGCAAAGACAGTCAGTGAGAAAGTAGAGGCTAAAATCTACAGAGAGAAATGTCCCTGTATTTTAAGTTATTTCAAGCTGAAGGAACTCTCTGAGGACAGATAAAACTTCCTACACTCCTCTAAACTGTCCCTCAAAATAACGTTTTGATAGGCAAAATGCTGAATGTGAATTAAGGCACCATGAGAACACCTGAAAGAAAATCTAAACCACGAACCGAAAGCGCGCATGTGTATAAGAGAGAGATATGTAAACAAAATAAAAGATATTCAGATAATCACGAAAGTAAAAGCAGCAAGTTTCTGGCCTCATGCTGGGGTTGTGATACACAATGTGGACTGAAGCCAGGATAACAGCATGGAAATCCCCTTAGCCCCTACCCTAGTCACCAAAAACACAAACACCCAGCAGAAATGACTGTGGCACCGCTAATACAAATTACGATACACTAAACCAATATAAAATTCCACACTAATCTACCAATTGCTTATAATTCCGGCTGCTGGAAAACCAAATAGAAGAAATTCTAACCTGCAAAAACATTTTTGCAGACAAAAGGTTCCATTTCAAGTTTCCAAGTCCTTATCTAAGATTGCCCATCCAATAACACAGGCAGTCTGAGCTAGAAAAATGTCTACACCAGTGTGTTTTGTCTAGCAAGTGACTCAAACAACAGCAGAAGTGACTCCTTGGGTTTCTAGACCTTTTGCTTATTTTTGTCTACATCTAGTTAACACTTTCTCCAATGATTTAGCAAGAAATGTCAAGACAATTTAACATTTGACAATTTAATATTTACTTTCTTTTGGTCACTGTTTGAATACTATTACTACTATTTTTGTTTAAACTTCAAATTAACAGACACAGCCCACAAAAAAGCAAACAGATGTGACAACGCTTTGTAAGTCAAACCTTTTGTAGTTGGTATTTCCATCTTTGGTTTTCATTTCTTTCTGTGAATTTCAGCTGATTAAGTAACCAGAGAATAATATATTGCACACGCCGATCCAACTTGGGCACAATGAATTCAAAGCAAAACAGATTTTGTGACACAACCAAACTCAAACTACAGCTTTAGTGTGATGGATTATCTGGCTGGGGCAAATTTCAACTCTGAAGAAGGTGCAGTTTCATACGGTGCAAAAATGAATGGCGACAAATGGCTTTTTTTCTGGAGGAAGTAAAACGAGCCTTGAACAACTGTGTACAGACAACAAGAAAACAATGTAAAGAGAGAGTTAAACTAGAAGCAGAAACTTTGGAATTGGAATTATGTTGCCTGCTAACATTATTGATGATAAATCACATTATTCGTTTATTTATTGTATATTATTTATAAAGCAACGTAACTTTTGCACAAATGTGGAATGGGGCGTTCACAGTAAATTCTTGGAGCAGCCGTACTTTTTGTGTGACTGTGGAGCCTCAGAACAAAGGCAAACGCAGGCAAGTTACGTTACAGTGCCACACCAGCTTTCTACAGTAATGCATGAAGAAAGGGACTCAATATTTATTAACTGAGTCATCAATAAGACAAGTTTGCTATCTCTCCCTCGCGCCATCTCCTCTCTGCTGTTACGTTACCTTTCTGGCCTTCTGCCTCAGCCCTGCAGGGGCGAGAGTCAAACAAACTCTATTTAGAGTAAGTAGAACGGAGTGACTGGTGTTAGCAGCATTACAGCCTCTGTGAAAACCTGTTTCCTTTCCTCAGGCAGGTCAGAGATTCAGAAATGGATGAGGCTCAGGAAGCTATCTATTTCTCATTTTTTACTTTGGACCCAAAGAGAGCAAAAAGGCACGACATGCATGCAGCCAAGTGAATCACAAAGTTCTTGTTTTCTCCCCGCTCTCTTTCAGCGTTGGTGTGTCGGATCTGAGATAAACAGTAGTTTTACTTAAATTCCCACTTTTCTTTCTAACTACTCTTTTTTTTTTTGCTTTACTGAAACTGAGAAAATGTGTCAGCACATCTGGAAGATATCAAATTAACAGAGCAGCCAGACAAGTCAAAACTTTTTGGGTTGAAAAGGAAATGTACTGTCTAATGAAGGTACGTCTATCAACAGCAGAAATCAAGATTCAACTCGAAATTGTGTTTGCCTCTGTTGAAGAAAGCGGCCCATAAATAAACAGCCGGCCAAAGTCAGAGCAGAGACCTAGACCACAACAGTCATGGTCTACGGTATATCAGGCCGAGAATCTACACACCCCGCTAGACTGGCCCCGACTTCAGGAGAGGGCTTACAGTCAGCCCTCCGTTTGTACTCATGACCACTAATTGCTTCAAGCAATAAATCATGTTTTCCAAAACTTCTAACTGAATATAAATAGTTGTGCAACAAATTCAGCATGTGCTATTAATGGCTTTGTGTGCACTCGGAGGGTAAGCTGAGGATTTTATTCAACAAATACTAAGTGCTGTTGGCAGTTGAGTGAAAGATCTCTGTAAACTCCACCAGCAGTGTTTAGACTTAATAAGCCCGGGACAAGGCTGTACAGTCTAACTCCATAAGGGACTTTTAGTGGGAAACGCTGTCTCGACAAACATGTACACTGAACGCTGAGGTTGACTCAAGGCTCTCCGAGCAGAGAGGGGTTTAACTCAAGGATTGTAGCACTTTGCTGATGTTCTCTGGTGTGGCCCATCGAGTCAACAGCACATAAAATCCTCACTTCACATGAAATCCTTACTTCACTAATAGTCTTAAGTTGAACACACGTTTGTCCTTTTATTAACATAAATTGAAAAACGGAAAGCATGCACTTTTTATTCCTAAAACATTTGGCAATATTTAAATTAACGGTTTAAATATTTTTTATTTTGAGACATTAGGTCATGACATGACTTGTGCCACTAAACTTGTGAATGAGCAAGCATTCACCAATATGCAAATAATAGAAAAGAAAATACGTAAGTTAATAAGTTTAATTTAGGGAAAGTTTTTCCATTTTAGAATGAGGAGGCTGCTTACTGTTAACAAACACTGAAAGTTTTCTAAAGTTTTGATTGGGAAAGTTCATGGTTTTCTCACTACACTAGTTTTATGCATTTACGCTACCATTGGTCTGACGTTACAAAGTTTATTTGCATTCTTTATGGTTAATTTGAGCAAGTAAATCTAGTATTTCATGGGTGTTGTTTTACAACAGTGTGTTTCATTTAAAGAAAAACTTAACCAAAATGAATACAATTTTGCTCAACTTGTCAAGGAAAAGTTTCTTCTCATAGAAATGGATTCAAGAACTATTTTACAGATTAATAACGAAAAGAACAAAAACGAGCACTAAAGAGCTATTAACACTAACAAACTCTAATGTAAAAAAAAAAAAAAAAAAGCCTACTACACAACAGTGTGTCTTTGTTACTCAAAAATGAGTTGGTCATTTTATGTCATCTGTCTGCCATGGTGCCTTTATAATATTCATAAAGCACTCCTTGGTGTACTTTTAGATGTGCTGAGACTGTTGTATGGTGGTGCACTATGAAAAGTGTACTGGATTTCGCGAAGGAGGTGGTTAATATTCACTGAGACATTTTGCTCTCACTGCCTACATTTAGTATCGCTTGATAGTGATAAATCCACACAGTAAATACTCTAAACAAATAAAGTAATTCTCACTGCACAGGCCTGTACGTGTGTCTCCAACTTAAGTTTTCCCGAAACTAGGGAATGAACCTACGCAGTCTGAAGAAAGTAAATTAATGAGGACATTTAATGGATTTTGTGCTTCTTTTTCTTCCTTTTCTTTTTCTTTTTTTTTTTTTCTTGTGTTTAGCCTAGTGGAGACCAGTTCGATACTGGTGTTAATGGGTCCAGTGGGATCGTGCACCCAGCTGGAGTCCGCCGGACAGAGTAACAACACAAGATAATGCTCGAGGTTTTATAGCCATGTCCAACTCGGACCCTGTACCTACAGCTTGAATAATTCACAATGGAAGGTAAATTTCCTTATCCGAAAAATACTGACAGCGGGTGATGCGATGCAACGCCAGGCGGTAAAATGTTTTGTCCGGGCTTTATTACGCACGGTTTTAATCTATAGTTTCCTCGGATGACCCGCTGTCAGTGAGCAGCCACGTATTAGAAATAAGAAACAGTAGCCTTTTTTTACACTCCTGCTCCTATCCTCAGCTATAGCCTGTACCTACAGCCACTGGCATTATGCCCTCACTGCGGAGAATAGACACCGATGTGGTCCAGCGGACCTGCGGACCCCGCGGTCCATGCAGATGCGAGGAGACAGAACATCGCCGACCCTCCGCGGTAAACAGGCCCGGTGTAGAGGAGAGGAGAGGAGGGTGTGGGTGAGGGGGGTCGGGGGGACACTTACTTGGCGTTGGTCCGGTTCCAGAAGACGGCGTAGCGGTCGGCCACCACTTTGGAACTGGGCTCCTGGCTAAATACACACATCAACAGCACCAGGCAGACGAAGAGGACCATTTCCATTTGCAGCATCACTACAGCGAAACTTCGGCACGTATTCCTCTTCAGTGTTGGGTCAGTCGGTCGAGTTGTACGGGGCGCTTCAACCGGGACAGGTGATGAGTCTCATTCACATGTGGCCGTGTGTTTCTGGCGCAAGGTTGTCAATGCTAAACAAACGCGCACAACATAGAAAAAGGGCGAAGGCAATAGCGAGACCATTCAATGGGGTGGGGGGTGGGGGGGGACACTTGAGATGACACTTGTTCAGGTTGAAGGAAATTTAAAGTTACAAAACCAACGCGTCGCAGTGTTTTCTCTCCGGTGCGGGTCGAGGGTCCGGATGAATCATATGCTTTATTTCATGCAGGATGTCAGCTCGGACTAATCCGTCGTGGGCTGGCAAAAAAAAATATTTTCCCCCACTAATGCACAAACAGTGAGATCAACGCACGCACACACACAAATGCGCAGCACAACAGGCAGTGTGATAATGTCCCCCTTATGCGGGGAGCTACTGGATGTAGCCTGTGTCAGGGCAAATGACAACTGCTGAACACTTCTTCTTACTCCAAAACCCAAAGCGCAAGGGGATTAGTCTGTCCAAGAGGTGATGGAGAAAAGAGAGAGAGAGAGAGAGAGAGAGAGAGAGAGAGAGAGAGAGAGAGAGAGAGAGAGAGAGAGAGAGAGAGACTCAATGTGTCCAATGACGCCGTGTGGCGCACGTCAGATGTCCATGTTCTCCAGGCAACTTTTTAAAGCCATACAGTCAGTCAGTCGCTGGCAGATGAACGGTGATGTTAGACTCGGTCTTTCGTCTCCAGCGTAAAAAAAAAAAAAAAAAAAAGACTATTATCCTTTCTCTGCGATTTACCGGAGGTGTCACGGCCGAGGTGGGGAGGAGTCCTTCTCGGTGTAGGAGAGAAGACGGACAGCGTTGTGTTTTCTCATGCGCTTCTCTCCGCGAAGACGCTTGTTTATGTCCGCATCCCAAAGTGTCCTCCTCATATATAAGCCATCGTGCGACGTGCGGGAATGAAAAAAACCTCGCCTTCTCCCATGTGCATGCAGTGTAGTCTTCCTCTCTCTTGTGTTTGGGTTTTAAAACGCCGGGACACGCAGGAAGGTGAGGGCAAAGGCAGGCAGCTCCAGACGCCGACTGAGAGAGTGGGTTTGGTTACGGCGGAGCGGGGGATAGTCCCATTGGTTTGAAATGATTTGAATGGGCGTCACTCGAACAAAGCCAAGCCCCTCCCCCGCCTAAAACCGTGCTAATTCAATTACGGAGAGGTAGAGCTGGAGAAGGGGACGGGGGGAAGAGGTGCACAGGACAGGGACCGCTTTTAGATACTCTGTCAGATCCAACCGATAAGTGCGCACGACGCTATTTAATTACATGCAAGCGGACGCAGCGGAGCAAAGAAGACCATGGACTCCAGTTACGCTCTCAGAGTTCAATTTAACTATTCAAATGTGTATTTTTCTAATAACAGTAAAGGTGTCAGTGTTTATGTATCAACATAGGCTAATGATATTTTTTTCAAATCTAAACATTAGTTCCGAATAGAATGTAGGCTATAATAAAGGAAATTGTTGCAAATTGGCTGTTCCCAATTCAGTGACATTGTCAATTAATTTTTTCCCCAATATTGCTAATTTATAACTAATTTTTGATCATGATTTAATTGTAATTGTGAGGAATTTCAACTCCAGAAAGGTCACATCTATCCCACAGGTTTATGAAGACAGAGAGGCGGAGGGAGGCTGGTGCCTCACAGCTTCTGCTCTGTGCGATGGTGTAATGCTGAAATGCTGAGATGTAATGGCCACGCAGGGCGCCGGGGGTAGATGTGACAGGGCAGCCTGTTGCGGAGAGCAGACTGAAGAGGTTCAAGGCGCCGCTCCAGCGCCCAGACGCCCCGCAGTGGCGAGCTGGCGGGATGGCTGACTCAGCCGGGGACAAATCCAAGTTGGAGTGCGCCAGGGGAACCGCGTCTGTCGTCGCCTTAAATCAGACAAGTGCTCACAAGGAGGATTTATGAAACTTTAGAAAATGAACAGCAGGCCTAAATTCAGGTGGGAAATCCCAAACGAAAATAACTGCACCGTGAATTCATACGGACACAATGTGCAGGACGCCTGGGGTGGATTTGCAGTGACCTATGGTGTGTTTAAAAAATTAGGAATGTTATGTGGAGTGGATGTTTTTTAGGGGGGGTGTGTGTGTGTGTGTGTGTGTGTGTGTGTGTGTGTGTTTGGGGGATTAGATATGACTAATGTGTTTTTTCAAAAGAGATGTGAAATTATTTATAAAGTTCCTTTTCAGCCCGTATGTCATTTAGAGCCACAATACAGTCTAAGTAGAAGGAAAATGTGAAGTCCCAGTAGCAAATTGTAAGAGGATACCAGCACAGAGCAGGGAGTTCAAACATAAAACCTAAGAGCTCATGATTCTAAAGAGGTAAGTGAAGATTTTTTTTTAGTGTGTTCGTGGTTTCTTCTTACTTTGTCTGTAATGTGTGTGTGTGTGTGTGTGTGTGTGTGTGTGTGTGTGTGTAAGCCAATAAGTAATATAAAAACTAGTAAATTTAGAGTTAAGACCTTCAATGTTATATCAGTATTTGTATCCTTGTAAAGTCAAGAAAATCCAATGCAGTTATATCTAAATGCCTACTGTGGGTGCGAGTGTGTGTAACAGGTGCTGCTGTTTGCCTTCAAGGATACAGGAGGAGCGAGGAGAAGGGAGAGGGAAGACAGAAGGAGGGAGGAAGGGGTGAGAGGGCAGCTAATATTTTAAGATAATCCTCTTGACCTCTTCCTATGGACTAATGTAAACTTCACTTACAGCTATCACCACACACACACATACACACACACACACAGAAGGGCACTTGCACGGCAACCACACACGCACACAAGCCCCCAAGACCACCACACAAACTCAGGTTATCACGTACACACACATTTTTTCAAGCATTTTTTGCAACGCACATACACGCACACACACACACACATACACACACACTGAAGACACTATCAACTTCCAGGGGAGGAGGGGTGGGGAGGTCAGCTTGGAGGTCAGTGAACATGGCTGTTTTCACACCCACTTTACAGCCATGACTGCATTCCTCTCCTGCTGCGTCTCGTCTCTCTCCCTCACACATACACACACATATAAAAACTCACTTGATAACAAGCATATATGACTGACTAGCGCACACAGCGTATACCCCCAGCTGCTTTCATTTTCTCTGGCATAGAAACAGAGCTTTCCCTCCCCATCCCCTTCTTAACCCGCTGTCACTATCATAGTGGGCTGTGTTGATTACTTCTCATGCGGGCCTATTTTCTCCCTCACACCCATCCACATGATGGCTTGAACTCTATTTCCAAAAAGCTGGGTTTATTTTTCTATTTGATTGATTAGTGAGGAGGAAAACAACACTGACATGGACTATCAGTGATCATGTGATAGGTGTTTTTTTAGAGAGATGAATATTTGACTGACTCTTACTGTGTGCACGCTCTTATTTCCCCTCTCTTTTTCTCTCTCTTACATATCTTTCAGCTCCCTTTGCTATTCTCCCACATGAAATTGTATACATGCTCATCTTATGTCTTTTAATTTTACCGCACAGCCTTTTTTAACTTTGGGGTTTTATTGTCCAATTCAATTTTGGTCATGATTCTAGTAATGCATTTTTGATACAGGATAACTGGTTTCATCAACAGCTTCAATTTTATATATAAAAGTAATTCTGGCCAAAATGACAAGTGTCTGGCTTTAAGCCCGAGATTTTCCTCTTCTCACACAGTAATCGGTACGCTCTCAGTCAGGGTCACAGCAGGGTGAGATGGGAAGGCTGACTGACTGACTGACTGACTGACTGACTGACTGACTGGGTGGTTCATACCTTTTTTTAATGTTATTGTTCTTTTGGCAACAGCACAATTAGAGACTGCATCATAACAGAGACTCATTAAAAAGATATGAGAATGCAGCTCGGTATGTCTGGTGTCAACATGACAGGTCAGGCATGCCAACAGGCAATTACAGACATGAAAAGTAAAAAGGATCCTTTGAACGATTTCTCTTAAAAATATCTGTCAATTAGAGGCATGTGACAGTGGAAAAAAAAACATGTCATACGGTTTGGCTAAGCATTAATTAAAACTATGTATACGCTCAAATCACCTTTTCTGAATTGATATCTATTGTATCCATTAAACATGAAATTCATGAATCAGTCAATGAGATGCCCTTATATCAAAAGAGAAAACTAAACCACTGTATGGATACAGACAAAGTGGCACCTCACAGGTATAATGGTTTGCTTTTAATACCGTAAACCATAAAAAGGAAACATTAAATCTGCTCTCAAGACACCTTTAAAATCCTCCTCCCTCATCATCAAATTTCTATAAAGTATCCCTACAGTTTTACAGTACATTACTACTGAAAGTATTGCACGGTATAGCATTTCTCTAATGTATGTTTACTGAGATACAGAGCACCATTGGGATACAGCAGATCAAGCAGAGTACTGGAGATCTATGTAATGATCTTTTCAGTCTGTGTAGCACCAAATCTCATTGATATACTGCTCACACATCTATAAATATGATGCTCTCTCACAAGCCCAGGCAATGGGATCGTTGTCAGTTAGAATTACTGGGAGCACTGCGCATGCATTGTGCCCTGTAACCCCATTCACATTATTGTATGCTGCAAACTGCGAGCGCAGATTAGACCACGTTAGATATGAGAAGAAAATAGGATTTCACCTCCTCAGAGCACTGATGTGAAATTTTCTTGGCCATTTCAGAGGATAATAATCATGTTTCTCCGGTATGCAAGAGGAGATGGGCTCCACAAAGAGTTACAAAGTAAGCACTTGGTGCTTGTGTGTATTTATAATTTGATAACTAATAAGACTGTGTGACAAACCATTTAATGTCATATCTTACACCTGAAATCACACACTCATCAGTCAGGATCAAAAAGCAAGTGTAGCATTGAAAACCTCAGTGTCTTAAGCCTGTATATTGATGAACTTCACACAAACCTTTCTCATTACATCTGAGCTCATCGGGAACATTACCTCCCTTCTCTGTCTCGCTCCCTCACTCTCTCTTAATTCTCCACCATCTCCCTCTTTAGGATGCATATTAGATTAAAGATTTTATTGTCACACTCAATGCACTTAGAGCGTTGGCAAACTAAATCACAGGGAGACAGCATGTCATAGAAGAGACACCTTGGGTTGACTAAGTCATGACGAGCCAGCACAAATCGATGAGAGGGACTAATCGGATGTATCTGCTGGGACAGGCCTTGCCCTGAATCCAAATGATGGACACCAGATGGGGACTGATGTTGCCATTAGTACACCATCAGTGCAGTAGACAAAGTGATGTAAGGACAAGGGCTTCCTATTCAATGAAGAATCAGGTTTTCAATAGGGACAGCCAAGGTCCTTCTATTCATAGAGGGAAAGCAGTAACCTACAGTGGTGATAGCTTGCCAGTGTTTGTGCGGGTGCAAGAGGAAAAAGAGAGAGTTTGGTTTGTGTGTGTGCATTTGTTCTTGTGGCTATACTTATGAGGACCACATGTCCTCACAAGGCCAGAAAGATGAGGAAAATGTTGCAAATCCTCAAAGGACTAAGATTGGGACAAGACCTCATATCTGAACAACAAAATAGATCATCCAAACCCGTGTGACTGTTGAGACAATAATTCAAATGAGTGTCTTCCGATCCACCCTCTCTTGGGCTAAGGTTTGCTTGCATATAGGCAATCAAAACTACTTGGATAAAGTTTGGGAAAGACCGTGGTCATGGTTAAAGGAAAGACTCTTTGCAGGAAACAGAGTGCAAACTCCGGTCACTTGTGTCAAAGTTACACACTTTGAACAACAAACGACCAATGCTTTCATTTTTCTGGTGAGGATAATCTTCGCTGGGACACAGTTTAAATTGAACTCTTAAAGTCAGGTATGAATTAGAGTTTAAAGGTTAAAAGACTTATTTGAAATTTTGGAAAATACCTTTATTCACATTCCTGCCAAGAGTTAGAGGAGATCAATCAGTGGCTATGAAGCTATTGCCAGCAGCTGGTTAGCTTAGTGCAAAGACTGGAAAAAGGGGGGAAGACAGCTAGCCTGGCTCTGTCCAAAGG